GTGGGGGGAGCGGCGCCGCCGGCGCCGAGCGCGGGGGCTGGAGGAGGAGTGCGGCAAGAGCGAGGGCAAGTGCTGCCTGCGCTCGCTCAAGGTCTCCTTCCAGGACATCGGCTGGGCCGACTGGGTGGTGGCCCCCAAGAGCTACTACATGCGCTTCTGCCAGGGCTCCTGCCCGCACAACTACAGGGCTGCGAGCATGCACGCGCAGGTGCAGGCGCGCGTGCACGCGCTGGCCCGCGGCGCCCCGGCGCCCTGCTGCGTGCCCGCCGCCTACGAGCCCATGGTGCTCATGCACTACGACGCCCAGGGCCGCCTCGTCTCCACCGTCTTCGAGGACATGCTGGTCACCAAGTGCCACTGCGCCTGACGGGTGCCGCCGCGCCAAAAAACCCTCCGCAGGATGCAGGGAGCCCTCCCTGGGATGCAGAAAATGCCGCTACGGGATGCAGGGAGCCCTCCCTGGCATGCAAGGAACCCTCCGCAGGAAGCAGGGACTTCTTCGCCCCTTGTTATTTTTATTCTCTCTTCCCCCCCCCATTGCTGGTCACCAAGTGCCACTGCGCCTGACGGGTGCCGCCGCGCCAAAAAACCCTCCGCAGGATGCAGGGAGCCCTCCCTGGGATGCAGAAAATGCCGCTACGGGATGCAGGGAGCCCTCCCTGGCATGCAAGGAACCCTCCGCAGGAAGCAGGGACTTCTTCGCCCCTTGTTATTTTTATTCTCTCTTCCCCCCCCCATTATTTTTATTTTATTGCCCGGGTGGGGTCTGGTCTTCCCACCTGGGAGAGCCGCCGCTGTGCGGGACCGGTGGCCTCAGCCTGCCTGGCAGTCCGTCACCTCTCCGCTAGACACTTATTTATGCAGTCCTCTTATTTATTTGCTAATTTATTGTATTTTATGGCTGGGAAAACACCTCGTTGGGAATGGGAGTGTTGTTATTTTCCGTTTGTATTTTATATATTTCTATAAAACTGATCATTGTGTCAGTCCTTGGGAGTTATGGGGCGCTAGGAATGGGGTTCCTCGGTGGGCCAGACTGCTCCAGCCGAGCGTTCCGGAGGCCCTGGCGCTCGGCCGGGCGCTGAGTAATGCCCAGGCACTCGGCCCAGGGACCTTTGAGCTGTCGCTGGCCTCGGTTGGGCTCCAAGCTCGGCCCTGACCCGGGGGCCGGCGAGCTGGGAAGCTCCCAAGCTCCAGGTGTCTCCGGCCGGGACGACCGAGCGGCTCCTGGGGCCGACCGGGAGCAGGAACGTGGCCCGTGGATGTGCCCGGCGGGGAGCTCTGCCCCGGGGACACCGGTGTCGGAAGCCTCTGGGGACACCAGGGAGCCCCGTGGGATCCGGGAACGCGCCCGGCACCTCCCGGTCCTGCTGCTCCTCCGGGTTTCCCGTGCGCAGCCTCCCCGCTGCCTTTATCACACCCTGGGTGTCACGAGGAGATAACGAAGGCGGCTCTGCCCAGGCGCTGCCACCCTGCACGTGCCAGGGCAGCCAACGCGGCCTGGGGACTGACGCACGGACCATGTGCGGGAAGGGATGCATGGATAGAGCTTGGGAAGGGATGCAGCTTGGGAAGGGATGCACGGACACAGCTTGGGAAGGAATGCAGGGATACAGCTTGGGAAGGGATGCAGCTTGGGAAGGGATGCATGGATAGAGCTTGGGAAGGAATACACGGATACAGCTTGGGAAGGGATGCACGCATACAGCTTGGGAAGGGATGCACGCATACAGCTTGGGAAGGGATGCACGGACACAGCTTGGGAAGGAATACACGGATACAGCTTGGGAAGGGATGCACGCATACAGCTTGGGAAGGGATGCACAGATACAGCTTGGGGAGGGATGCAGCTTGGGAAGGGATGCATGGATACAGCTTGGGAAGGAATACACGGATACAGCTTGGGAAGGGATGCAGCTTGGGAAGGGATGCACGGATGCAGCTTGGGAAGGGATGCACGGATGCAGCTTGGGAAGGGATGCAGCTTGGGAAGGGATGCATAGATACAGCTTGGGAAGGGATACATGGATACAGCTTGAGAAGGGATACATGGATACAGCTTGGGAAGGGATACATGGATACAGCTTGGGAAGGGATACATGGATACAGCTTGGGAAGGGATACATGGATACAGCTTGGGAAGGGATACATGGATACAGCTTGAGAAGGGATACATGGATACAGCTTGAGAAGGGATACATGGATACAGCTTGGGAAGG